AGATGATAATTTTAGTCTTGTTTTGAATTTTCACAATCAATAAAATCCTTATAGCTTCGACCGTATTTATGCAGTGATATTGCAAAACCTAAATACTAAATATGCTCATAATTTCAGTTTATCACATATTTAATTGTAATATTACTGTATAATTTTATTAAAAATTTCTTATAAATATGATACATTCATACATAAATGTGTGTATGTAATTTATTTAATTAGTTGTTTAGTCGTGTATCATGGAAAGGTTTTCCTCGTTTACAATACATACCTTTCAAATAATAATTTTTTTGAACCGTAAATAAAACAGACGATATTATATAAATATGTTTTAAACTTGTTCTGTTTGATGAGGAAAGTGTTAACGAAGTTAAATTGAAATCACGCACGCAACGGGTAACAAGAAGCCAAACTTTCTCAGTTTCGTTACAATATATAATGATATCTTCTTATGGTATTCATTATTATTTACTTGTTTCAAAATATATCCATCTTCAGTACAATAAATTAGCACGCACGCATGTTGTACATATCTTTAATGCCGATAATGATTTCCATTAAATTTCAAAGTTCCAAAATACTTTAATATTATTATTTTTTTACGAAAATCTTTTTTCAAATAGAAAACAAACGTTAATTATGGCTAAAAATTTTATATAATTTTCATCCTTAGATTCAAGATTTATAAGATCGATAATACTGGAATATCCAAAAAAAAAAAATCTTAGTTAGTCAACTAATAAAAAGAATAATAACTTAATTATATACATAATCATAATTTTCTTCAATTAAATAAAAGTTTTATTTAATCCATCCACTCGTTTGAAATTTACTTATCAGCAAATATGTAATTATAAACCTTTTTAAAATTTATAAAAAATTTTGATCATGTTATAAAATGTATTTATGGATATTGATTAAGAAATTAACTCGATTTGGAGAGAAAGGTTTCAAATTGACGTAGTTATAAGACAAATTTCTGACTATACAAAGCTATCTTTTATATTATATCAGAATGAAATCATAACCAAATTCTTACTAAGAAATAATTATTTTTTATTGGGTTACGAAATTAATAAACTACTTTTCAATGTATTCACTAGCGATGTACATTTACTATAGATGAGGAATCCTTAAATTTCATTCAAAGTAGTTCAGTTCATTTGTTTTTGTAATCAAAATTTAAGAAAACGAATGAAATAATCATTTAATCTAATAATAATAATAATAATTTATTTCCAAAGAGGGTTGATGTCAGGCAGGTGGACGGTCGTAAAAACAGTTAGCCAAAACCATTTACAACATTTAAGGCAGACCCTGGCTAAAACTGGAAAATTGCCAGGAAGAAGTAGATCTAAGTACATTTATTATATAATTAAAATAAATGTATCATATAAATATACCTTTAGTAATTTTGTTCAGAGGAAATCATTGTAAATCTTAAAATGGCATTGAATAGGAATGGGAGCGATAGTTACCATTTAAATGTACCTCATTTATCTCTCAGATCTCAGAGTAAATCTTATAATGGATTGCGGAGAGTAAGTTAAGCCTTTAATAAATAGTACTATGTAGTAATTGCAAAAAGTAAGTATGTGAACATTTCTTTAAACATGTTGGTATTTTTTTGATTTTAGTATGTTTATTTTGGCTGTTATTTTATTTTGTAAATATTTTCGTCTCTTTAAAATTTGTTTAAATTGTATTGTGTGTTGTTTTGTTACACATTTTTATATGTAAATATATATAACTTAAAAACCATAGCGGGTTTGAAAAAATATTTTAAGCTGGTAATTTTATAATTTATTTACAAGTATCTTTTCTAGAAGAGATATCTATTAAAACAGTACATTTAATTACATTTCATTTCAAGGGATTAAGGTCTTGACTTCTTGCATGTTCAACCTAATTTATAATCCTATTCTGTCATTATAAAAGTTACTGATTATTTTGAAATAAATATAATTTGTAGTTAAAATATTTAAGTGCATTTTAACTTGTTTTATTAAAGCGTTTTATAAGTTATACCCGGATTACTTTTCGCATTAAAATTTTATGTAATTTTACTCAAAAATATAATATACATATTTAATGTGTATATGTTTATCTACGTAATATATAAGTGTAACATATATTAGGCCTACATTATAAACTGCGTGCAACAAATGGTTACATAACGTTTTGAGTATAGCGAGCTTTTTAAGGCTTTATTGTTTGCATAAGCCTTCCGGCACAGCCAAAGGGAGTGGCTTATTTCAGTGGGCGTGGCCTAGGTGGGGTGGCTGTAGGTATAACCTACATCGTAGTCACCATATCTCAGAACTGACTTAACTATGAATTATTCATATATCTAGATTAGCAGAGATTGATTAACAATACGCTCCACTTACGACTGGTTAGTAATTGTATGCTTTAATAAAGTGAATATTTATATTGATATTTAAGATGTTTAATTTATGGATATTAATTTTTAAATATTAATAGAAATAAATTCGTTTTTTCTTAAATTGAAAGCCGGCTATAGTTATCATAGAATTATCTTTGAATTAACTAACGCTTAAGTATCGAATTTAATCGTGTTGATATGGTCTATTAACCAAAAAATATTTTAATGGAACACACACACACACACATACACACTCACACACATATGTACAATTATGAAACCTTACACTCGTCAAGTCTATATAGTTTAAATTAAATACTTAAATCCAATCCTACATAATATTAACCATATTTAGTATATATTCATGAGTTTGTATGTCCGTACGCTTCAAGAATACACAATACTTTCTTAGCTATCAGATTTTCTTTGACGTTAAATTTTACGAGTGAAACATACAATGGACCACCCGCGTCTTGTAGCGATGTGAATACAAACAACATTATTATATTTATTATGTGTGTTTATACACATTTAACTAGACAACTCTGACTTGATTGTCAGATAAAAAATATCTTTATAGGCGTAACGGGCAATATATTATTTCTTCATACAAAAACCGTTGCGAGATTTCATCAAAGATATATTTATGTATTTAAAACGAGGATTTTAATTTGAATTACCAGAAATATAGCCAAGGATATTATGAAAAGAAATTTGTATTTATTTATTTATATTATTGACAAATAAATAACAATAAATTAGAATGTCAGCATTTTAATATTGTGGCGGTTAAGGCTCGCGAAGGCTATGCCCGCGCGTGCACAGAATAACTTATATATAAATATCGGGTATCGATTAAGATGCGAAAAATATAAGTTTTTTAATACGATGTGTTTAAAAAACCTTGAAGGGTTTATACTTTTTATGTCCTGCATTGTAATGAATAATTTATTAATAGCATCATCGCGAATAAGCTTTCGTTTTTCTTTTGTTTAACATTTTATTTTTATAACCTACTAGTTTTTGCCCGCGACTTCGTCCGCGTTAGTTTGGTCAAGAGTAATATATGTAGGTATAGCTGACCAGGCGAACTCTATTCCGTCTTAGTTTTTCCTGTTTCAATCAAACAGAATGATTGACATATTAGTTAGTTGTCAAATCTAATGTCAAAAAAAAAACGTTTGTATGGGAAAAAGAAAAGGGCTGTTTTAGGGTTTTTCCGGCGATTATTCCAATTTTTCTCACCTTTTAAACCGTCCCTGGACTTCCAGGAGTATTTCAAGACTAAAATTAGCCAAATCGGTTCAGCCGTTCTCGAGTTTTAACGAGACTAAGGAACAGCAATCCATTTTTATATATTAGGTTGTCCCATAAGTTTTTTCCGCGCTACGTTATGAATGAGTCTGACTGGCTATGCTTATATAAACATGCAGGCTTATCTCTTAGCCGTTTATGGCATCGGTTTCAGTCTTCCCGGAGCTCTTTCAAAGTACATTTCGTTGGTGACAAAGCCTCTTTTAAAAAAAAATCTGCCCCGTTCAATATGGAGAATCAAAAGAAGCATTTACGGGATGTTATGCTTCATTGCTTTAATAAAGGCAATAGTGCAAAGAACACTGCAGATGAGATTTGCACCGTTTACGGGAGTGGTACTACGACCATTAGGACCGTCCACCATTGGTTTAAGAAATTTAGAGCCGGCAAATTTGATCTGCAAGATGAAGACCGCAGCGGCCGCCCAGTAACAACGGATGCGGGCCTTATCAAGACTGTGCTCTCTGAAAATCCGCGAGATAGAGGATAAAACTAACATTCCCAAGACAACGGTACATAAGCATTTGATCAAGATGGGATATGCAAATCGGTATGAAGTTTGGGTTCCACACCTATTGACGGAGACCGGCCTTATGAACCGCGTCTCTACGTGCGATTTGCTTCTTCGTCGTGTCGTCGTGATGGTCGTGAGACAAAAATTATTACAGTTCGATTGGGACGTTCTACCTCATCCTCCGTACTCCCTAGACCTTGCTCCTTCCGATTATTACTTGTTCCTCTCTTTAAAAAAATATCTCCGTGGTAAATCTTTCAAATCCATAAGTGAAATAAAAACGCACACAGACGAATATTTTGCAAGTAAGCCTCAACAATTTTGGAAAGAGGGCATAATGAGGCTTCCTGAGAGATGAAAGAAGGTTATAGAACAGAACGGTTCATATATAATACAATAAATCAACCTCAAACAACAAATATCGTGTATTCATTTCGCATCAAAAAAAGGGAAGAAACTTATGGGACAACCTATATATATATAGAAGATTTATTGTTTGCGTACGTAATGTTTAAATTATATATTAAATCGTTGCAGGTTTACTTCAATTAAAACGTTCTGGATACATTAATATTCATTATGAAATGAAAACATTATTGGTATATATGGATCAAATAATTTTCATTCCGTTCTCATAACATTTTGTCTGACAATATTTATTTCCAGTTACAATTTAGTCGTATTTAATCTTATTAACATACAGACACAAGTTCGGTTATCCACGGACATATTGAACGTGTATAATCATATATAGTGGTGAATAGTGATCTATTATTGCGGAAGTGTATGATGCGGGCTACCAAAATGACGTCTTCACAATGTAGGAGCGTCACGCCGCCACTATCGCGGACGAGTTCGTCGGATTTGGTCGGTCGTTCGTCGGATTTGACCCGACATCGGAATCTATCTCCGGACCTGTCTTTAGATTTCTCGCGCCATAGACCATTGTCTCCGGATTTATTGGATCTAACTCTATCACCTGATTTGCCTCGAAGATCCCGATCTCCGGCTAGACCAAGATCACTCATGGAAACTCTGCTTGTCGCTAAAATGGAAGCATTGAGTACTGGAAAGCTGGTGCGGACTGATTCCTTGGATAGCTGCAGTAGTTTCGGATCGATGTCATCATTGCCCAGCGATGTATGCAGATGCGATGACTGTCTCCTTGGAATAGTAGACTTCTACCTTCCAAACCCGGACTCTAATAAGGCACTTAGAAAGGTATGTCTTAATATTTCAACCTTATGATTTTCTGTCAAAGAATAATTATCCAAAAAATGGTACCAAATTGAGATAATATGCATGCAATTTAAGAGAGTCAAATCATGTTCGCGTTTCTATAATAACTAACGTGTTGTCACGAAAGGATAATTATTGATTGACAGTGATTGTTGCAAATCCGGATTATAATATGCTTATTAGGAATAATATATTTAATATGAAATGAATTATCATATATTTTAGTTATTAAGTAAACTTATCGAACCAAATTAATTGGTTCTGACCCAAAAACAGAATCTTGGTGAACCAAAAATGTAATACTAAATTGCGTAACAAATATTTTTTTTCTTTTTTTTATATTTTATGTATATTTGAGTTGTCCACCTGATTGTACGTCGTTAGCGGATTATAATAATGTGACAAGTGAAATTTAATGCGAGGTGCGATCAATGAGTATATTAGGTGCTTAGATTAAAACAAGTTTCAACTTGATAATTAAATTCCAAGCTTTACTTGACAACATACGAAACGAATAACTAGTAATATGCTGCCTATATTTAAGGATTATATATTTATATATATGGAATGCAAATTATTAATATCTATTTTTGGTAAAAAATGTTGCATAGAATTTTCAAAATGAGAACATTTTTTTAATTATACATTTTTGTATATACATATATTTTATACAATAGGGATTTAAATGTCGATTTTTAACTTAAACTGTACTTGAATATACATTTTTTTTATCATGATGATGATGATGATGAAAAATGCATTTATGATAGTTTAATAATATAATTACTTTTACCATATCAAGATGAATACAATTTATCGATTACCAGTTCTGAAGTGGCGAGCGTCCTCTAGTTATGTTAAGGAACTTTGCGCAGACCTTTCAAATGAGTATCTTGAAGCAGTTTAATAATATTTCAACAGATGGCGCTAGCTCTGATAGAAATAGAATGCGCGGGATTTTCTTTTTTGTTCAAGTAAAAAAAAAACTGAATCTAATATTGCAAAACACTGTAACCTATTGTTGTAATCGCCTTTATCTCTGTAAACAATGTTATGATCAAAGTCTCCAATATTTATGTAAATTTTTCATTGTTTACTCACATAGAATTATCATAAATGTATCCAACCATCAATTTACGTCAAGATTTACGCAACTTTTTCACTCGTGCACGAAAATTGTTACGTAAATCACACGAAATGCATTATGAGACAGAAAACGTGCCAAAATTAACATTTCATTTCAATTATAAGTTATTAAATTTTATTTTTATAACTCAGGTTTTATTTTATTGACACAAATATGTGAGTTAGTTTAAAGGAAATCTTAGTATATTAAATTAACCATAATATGCTTTGTCACTTTCTGAACAAAGTTGAGTCATAATAATAAAAATTTACAAATTACGATAGGACAAGTGCCATATAGTTTTATAAAATATAAATATCTTATATAAAACAGCAGGGTACTGCTCTCACTGTCAGTAGTATATGTCGAGCCTGTTAACTTAAATATTAATGGAATGTGCTACACAAAAATGTACAATAATGTTTGTTTGTTTATTCGACATTCGGTAATCGTTTCGACTCACAAACGAGTAACTGTTTCTTATATTCAATGTTAATACATTATCATTTATAATGGTATAGCGATATATTTGTTTCACGTAGTACATGTCATGAGTTTATTTGAATACCGGTGTAACGTATTTTAGACTTAATCCCTTTTTGTATTATGGTTGTTATTCATTTGTGTTTGTTTTATGTTATTGTCGCCGAAGAGTTTATGTGACGTCACCAGACACGTTCTGAATATCCAGAGAGGTGTGTGCGTCAGTTTGACGTCATAATTCCTTTCCGAGGACTTTCTATGGCGTTCAGTAGTATGGCGGCTTTGAATGTCTACATAGTTGTCAAAGGATTTACTACTATAGAGACAGTTTGTCAGGATATTGACATATTTAATATATTTTATGTATCCCGTCAATGTGAGAATGTGTATAGCATTTTCGTGTCTTTTTAAAATAACACACAATATAAATCAACGGTTTATGATAATACGAACAGATTTGTGGTAGTTCATACATGCAAAATATAACTCAAGATTGTTATATTGCTATATAGATTATCGAATTTTTTTGGCACTTAAATACATTGACTTGGTTTTTTATAAAATATTTAGTGATATTAAAAATAGTATTTCTGCTTCCCTTATCTGTAGATGAATTTTATCGTAGCAAAAAATGTTTAAGCAATAAGGCAAATGTAAGCAGAAAATTTAAATTTAACTATGAATAATAAAGATGTCACGGTGATTGTAATAAAAATTGTTATATAATTATAAATTAATGGTAATCATATATTTACGTGTGTATTTAGAATAAACTGGTTTCTTATGTTCTATATTAATTATTTAGAAAAGATTTCGCTAAATATAATAAATAAAATACTTTAGCTTTATCAACTTCTTAGATCATAATTTCTAGATCTCGGGATTATATTAATTCGCGTATATCTTGATACAAATCTTTTATTACTGATATTTTAGAAATGTAACGACGAAAAAAATATTATACTTTATTTGAGTTTGTCTTAAATGAACTATATAAAATCCGTTACATTATATTTTTAGTACGGTTGCAATTTTAAACATACTTTATCTGGAGCTCAGAGTTCATTTTAACTCCGATTGAGTATACGGAATAAAAGCAATATTTTTTTGTACTTAACAATTTTCAGTTATAGAAATCTATATAATATGTATTATGTTGTTGAAGTTAAATGGACGACCCCTTATATCTTATATCTTATGTTAAATATTTTATATTAATAATGTTATTCCATAGTTAAAGGTTTTTCCATTGCACAGAATTTTATTTATTAATGAATTTAATTATTGCATTAACTCTCCCATTTTCCCTCCAGTTGAAACCACAAAAATGTTGAGTTTATTACTAGTAATTTGCATATTATTTTTGTATATATATTATATATACTATGTACGTATAGAGGTTAGAGAAATTTATTTAGAGTACATGTAATAGTTAATTTTATTTAAATGTCGACGGAATAAAAAATACATAAGTATAAAAAAAATATTTACATTACATACTTGTTTTAACTCTCATCAATATAAAGGGGGTATGATGAGAAAATGGTAAATGGAAATAAACGTGAAACCTTATTAACCCACATGGAAATAAAAGGATATGGATATTTTTCATTTACATGTCTTTCATATGCATACGATATACATAAATGTTTTTAAAACCTCTCCATAAAAAATTTGTAATATCATTGAAGGAGTTTGATGTGACAAATAAAAATGCATTAATCATGTATTAGGTTTACATTTCAAATCAAAGCTAGTATAGTTTTTATCAAAGATTAGAAGGAATGTAGCAATGCGTTCGAAATATCTTTGCTCTTAAAATTTTGTAAGGATCAATACTATTATTTTAAATATATATTTATTTGTTTTACTCTTTGTAAACTATTCCTGATAGTAACTTTACGGTGTTGTTGGAGGAATATTACCAGATATTATTCAAATATTCCATGTATTTAGAACATGTTGATAGATTTAAAATTCCATTTCCATACGTATCAAATAACAGTGACGTAATGTTTTAGGTCATAAACATTTTTTGCGTAACTTCATTACATCCATACAGCTATTATGTGTTTTCTCTTATTTCTATTTATTACTAGAAAAATGGTTTATTAATTAACTAAATATTCAATACAAATAATCTCTCAATATATTTATATATAATTTTAATTTTAAATAATTTTTATATAGGTAATGTAGTGTATTTTGATTGACTGATTAAACATTAAATACTAGTGACACTTAATTTTGGTATTTTTTTTATATTAAGCCTAAGTTTTTGTAAGATATACATGTTGATAATAATATTAAAGTTAGTATATCAAATAAATGGAAATCTATCGTTCAAATATTAATAAACTATTTCTTAAAGCAGATCAATGTACCCACAGGTTCATATAGACAAATAAAATATGATTTAAATTATGACAGGCTTGTAAATTTAATCATCTTGAATAAGAAACGAAATTTCAATAAAACTAATACCCTTAAGGGAAGTTTTTTATAAAGTGAGTTAAATTTGAGCTTTGTACGTTAGTTACTTGGGGAAAATTTATTATTTAATAGATTTATATATATAATTTACATCCATATATGTATATTAGACTTAAGAGTATTTATGCACTTATGTATTAGAGGTGTTCTTTTTCTTTTCATTTGTATAAAAATGTTTATACTAATTTAGAGAAATATACATTGATAGATTGAGTTAAATATGCTTTCTGGTCAAAAATTTGCAGTTCGACAATTGATACGTACGATTTTGAAACCCATAGAAATTAAATCATTATAAAACAGAAAAAAACAAATAATAATTGAAAAATAGTCTTTAAATCAAATCAGACGGATATGAGATTTTAAAATAATAGTATTAAATAAAATTAATCTATTCAAAGCTACATAAATAATGTATGCTTATCTGATAATATAAAAAAATTAAGTACAGTTATTTTTCTTGTTTCTTCGATTAAAAATATATTAATACATTAAGAGAACTTTCATCCTCTTGAGTTTTTACGTCATTTAATATTTGGAGGAGATACTCACACAATAATAAGAAGATAAAACAAAAGTAAATAGAGGCCCATTTATTACAAGAAAAGCCTAATTTTACGTTCTGTTTGTACTGTAAAGATAATTCCGTATTATACCTTTGTATTTAATTTAAATTTAATATAACATTTCATAGAAAATATATTTTTAGAAAATATTATAATAAGTAAGTTTCAATAAGACGTCATCACTATAAAACTTATCTCAAACAAAATAAAAACAAGTCAGATATTATAAAAATAGCTTCAATATTAAATATCAGTTGCTAGTGATGTTTATTTTTTTCTTTAATATATTTAATGAATTGAAATCATATGATCACAATTTAAGTATAAGTATGGTAGAGTCATTTTTATTATGAAATGCTTAAAAGCATTTGACCATTTTCTATCGGTAAATTATACTGATTGTTACCTATTACTTTAATTGTCTCTTTATAAGTGTTTTAGGGTATTAGGTTCGGAATAATTTGATAGCAGGTAAGTTTTTTCTCATATTAAATATTACTCAAGAGACGTCGAAAGATTAAAGATTTTTTAGCTATAATACTCAATTGTATGAGAAAAGAAATAAAATAATTTTGGAAATTTTGCTTATGTATGTAGATTAGCTAATTTCGTAGTGTATGAATATTTTATATAGTATTATTGTAATAAGTTCAATCCAATATGCTGTATATTTTTGTATGAATCCAAAGTCACGGTTATAGTCTTACGAATACGTCGGCTATCATTTGCGTATCTGAACGAGTTGTACGAATGTTCAGTTATGAAGCACGTGGAGTTCCACACTCAACATGCCACTCCGCGCAGTGCTAGCGCCGCGCGCACTACTCACGCCCGCGCCTCCGAATAGGTGCAGAATGTGCAAATTTTAGTGAAACGAAAATGCCGTTGGTACTAAAAACGAATGGGATGATCATTGTGAACTAACAATAATGCCGGAGTGTCCCGATTCGTTTAATTTTACTATACCAATTATCAGCTACACGATGGAAACGGACAATAACACTAGTAATGCTGAGAGGCCGCTGCCAAAGATTAAGAAGACGTCGCTATTGACGCCGGTTAAGATTGAAACTCCGGATAGTGGGAGGAGGCTGTCTGAGCCAGCCAGGTATTACATTCCACCGCAATGTAACAACAGGTTATCACCTAGGAGCGCAAGGAAACGGGATACAAGAAGAAATTCTAAATCATCAGTGATGACGGACTCGCCGTGCAAAGAGACTTTTGGATTGAAGCCATGTAGCTGTGAGGATTGTCGATCCTCAAGTCCATTGCCCCCTGGGTATGGCCCACAAACGTTAACACCTGGATATGATCAGATGCAAAGTTCATTGTTGGAAGTGCCGTGGTCCGAGGATTACACCGAAGCATCGAGTGATGATCTCAGTTCTGAATGGGATTCCGATGTACCAGAACCACCACGACCCACACAAAAGGTAATTAACATAACAATAACCCCTTGTTTCTGGTGATGAACGACTCACATTGTTCAAACATAATAATCTTCTAAAACTTATCTGCTATATAAATTCCCTAATGACATATTTTTGTGGCCTATTATATGCAAATTTCCATTAAATAAACATTAATATATTTTGAATTGCAAATGTCAACGAAACTTGATGAAAAACGTATAATATATAAAAATAACCATACGGAAATCTTAATATTAATAAAAATATCCTTTTATTTGTTTTATTAAATTAATTTCTGTTTTTAACGGACTGCGTAAATTTCATTTATTGTGAATGGGTATAAATATAATTATGGAATGGTGTATAAAAACGTGAACGTCTGGTTTAATAAGTGGTGATTGGTGGCGAAAAGAAAAAGTAGTCCGCTAATTAAAAACCAGCTCGTGTACTCTAGTTGTGATCGAAACGACTTATTATTGATATAATAAATATTATTGCCGTATAATCAAACTACGGCTTTATAACCATATAAAGAACAAATACAGATAATGTTTAAAGTAAAACGAACACGGCTACAAATAATGGAACAACATTATCTCGTTTGCTTTAATCTATGTATTTTAAGAGATAATTTGAATAATTTGTACACTAAATAAGATAATAATGATCTAGTTAACTGAATTCATTCTTAATGAATGATGTAATTATGCCAAGACCGGTGCTGTTTCCAATTTAATGCATGCAATCTCCAATGGCAGTGCTAATACCAACCAACGTTTTTTTTTTCACTCAGACGTCATACAAGTTATTGAAGTATTTGATTAGCATTTAAGTTTATAATGACGTACCGAACGAAGGTTAAATTTATTTTCATTTGTTCCCTTGCCTTTCCTTAACATATACAGGTGTTTTGAAATTACAATGTCACGCTTTCGTACCTGTTTTGGAGAGTATGATATATGCTTTGATTGATATAATATGCTGTATTTATAAGTAAATATATAGGTATTTGTGTAAGTTCCATCGATCACATTGCTTTCACTGCGACTGCATCGACTTTACCGTTACCGAGCCAGTAACCTCGTTAAAGTATTTACGCACACCCATTGTCTCATTGATCTAGTTTTTGTTCGATATTACTACAATTTATATACTTATTGTAATAATATACATTGTAATGCAATGACGTTTATTAATTTATGCTGATTATAATAATATTATGAATGATTACGTCTGTATTTTATAGCTTAACAAAAATAACAACGAATCTTCTTTTTTCTTTATTTTGTTATGGGATCCCTGTGGGAACTACATGGAATATATAGACAAATTATAGCCTATATCTTATTCTGATGTCTAAGCTACATTACTATGTAAATTTCATTAAAATTTCTTGAATAATTTCTACTTAAATGAGTAACAAACATCCATAAATCCATACATCTTCATAAACATTCGCTTTGATAATATTTGAAGGAACTTAAAATATACTATTTATATCTGTTTTGTTAAAAAGATTAAAGTTTATTAGTATTTCGAGAAAAAATGCCGAACTTATATACATAAATATATAAAATATATAGAAATATATAGAAATGGTTGAGAAACCATATTTTAACAAACTATTCACTATAGTATTTCGATATTTTATTGTCATTAGTATGCGTAGATTATTTCATAATTCACATTTAAATGTCACGAAGTTTATTATAAAGGTGATTTAACTTGATATTGTGTTTATTTTAATGTCCTTGGTAAATAAATTGATGACTTAGTAACATATTGTTTAGTAGAATTATTATAAAAAATATATATATTATATACTTATTTATGAGACTGCGTTAAACTTTTAATATTGTATATCGTGTGTAAGAAGGGTTAAAGAAATTCCATTTACCAGTGAACTCTAGAAATGTACTCCAAAAATATTTTATCATATTTTGTATTATACTTTCAAACTTTATAGATACTTAGATAAATAATACTATACAGGGTGACTGGTGAATTACTATCAATATTTAAGGAGCATACTCGGTACATGATTCTCATTCGAATTATGTAAAAAAAATAGGTACTTAATTTTTGACCAAATTTCCGTATAAATAAATAAAGTGTGTACACGTTCCAAGTGTTCCAAGTGTGGACGCGTTCGGCGGCGTGCTGATACAACAACACGCCGCCGCGCGCGTATGTGTGAGTGTGTGTGTATACCTAATCTGTAGGGTGTTTACACGATGCGTAATTAATTACATAACTTTTGGTTAACTTTACTTAGAAGTTTATTAATATTTATGTTATATTAATTTTTTTTTTGTCATATATGATCGTCAAATACCACGTCCTCAAATATCGATAGTAATTCACCAGTCACCCTGTATATATGAGAAGTCTTTAATATATTTTTTATTAATTTTCTACAAAAAAATTAATAGAGTTATCAATAAAAAAGCTATAACCTAGCTAGCTTCGAACAACAAACATCAATAAATATATTTCCACTTCGTGTTATAGCATAAAGAAATATTTTGTTATTTCATGTTTTAAACAAAAAAAATATAAATTTAAACGATTCTAACTGTTTTCACATAAAAGTTTATACCTTAAATATATGTTATAAACAAAGTAAAAGTATATTGAGTATATATGTATAGTATAGTCATTATCATCAGCCTATCGGAGCCCACTGCTGAGCAAAGACCTCTTTCTCACATGGAGAAAGTGTATTTAAAGTATAGTAAGTTATACCACAATTTCCCTATTGCTATCGTTTCCCAATACTAAGTCCAAGAAATAATTAATACAATTCTGGGTACTCATTATTATTGTTCATAATTTATAGAATGTTACGTTAATCATTTCGTAACCGCAGACACTAACATTATGACGTCATATTTCGATACTATTATAATTAATAAGTCGGAAAACCTTGTAATTTCTATGGAATCTAAATTTTTAATGTTCTTGTATTGTTTGGCAGATGTCCTTTTATTTTTTGTTATTTGCTTATGTGGGTTACGCTTTTAAAATATTTGAATACCTCCCACATAGCCGCTACATAAAGATTTTGTTAACAAATGTTTAATCAGGTATCGCCAACATTTTTTTTTCTATTTATCTTAAAAAATCTACCAACTTGAACGATACATTTGCTTTGAGCAAACGACATGATGTCAATGATGTTATTAAATTTGAAAAAACATAACCTCCTGCGTCAGTGTAGAAGGGTATTTTTTTATAGTACATAGACTATACGTATATTTAGTACTTTGTACTACAGTTGATTTAACAAAAAATATATTTTTTGTTTTGTTAATTAAAATTAATATTCTACATAGTATATGAATACTAATTTAAAAGGTTCGTATCTGATGTGAATATGATTTTTATATCGAAACATCTAAAATGATATTTAAACATATATTTAAGTACATATGTAACGATTTTAATCTTTCATTATATATAATAAACAAGACAAACGTTTTACAGTTACAAAGTAAATTATAGATCTATTCTTAATAAAAACGAATTTATAATAAGCATTTGCCAATAATGGTACCTAATTAGGTTAATTTATTTCAATAAATTGAAATCTGATTGTATATTACTAATCAAGAAATATTTTTTACTGGTCATAATCTGAAAGACACAACGATAATTTATGTTGAAAATTTAATTATAAAAACCTTTTCCAAATTTTCATATCGTATGTAGGAAATAAGTAATACCTAATGATTTACTTAGTAGTTTTTTTATATACTGTAAACTACTAAGATATTTATTAGTTAGTAGTTATATATAAATGATCATGGTTCAAGTATGATAAGCGTCACCAATGATAACCCTCGACTGTCTTGGTGTCACGATGGCCTAATAAAGTGTCTCCACTAATTAGTGCAGCGTTATAGAAGACGATATCAAATTGTCTAGACGATTAATCGATTACCAACAATCAAATAATATTTTTTTCTAGTACAGATTTAAAAAAAAAATATACAGTGAAAATAATTTCTACTGCGCACGAGATCTAAGACTTTCGCGAGTATTAATTTAAATGAAAATAATATTAACGGATTATTACGCGTTATTTTATTATTTTTTAAAAGTATATACTCCTGATGTTTCGGTTACTTTGCAGAATACGTTATCATGAGCAGATTAGATGTGAATATTTTAAATTTAAACCAGTGTACGATAAACTACTACATATTATACTACTATACTATAACTATATCTAAAATATAAATTATTAGATGTACTCCACGGCACATGAACAACTTGTAAGTTTTAATTTCTTATTACTATTTTCATTACAACCTCAATACTTTAAGTTATCGTATGATAAAACGTAAGTCATTCTCCGATAACTTGGAAATATTAAGATAAGTCCTAATTACTTTTCTTAAATATTTATCTCGATGTTTGATCTTTATTTTTCCTGGTAACAGACCTACAGACCTTGTCCTGTCATGTCAAAGATATGATTGAGAATAGGGAGCATGGTAAGGGATATATGTATTTTGTTTTTAAAAGCATAGCCCTTATTTCAAACTATTATTTATCACTCTAATTTAAGTAAAGAATAATTCAAAGTTACTATAGAACCTTGAGATCTTTATAAACGTTTGCGATCTAACTGAATAACTGACAGATAACTGTTGAACAAATTACAGTTCATCATCATCATCAGCCTATTAGACGCCCACTGCTGAGCAAAGGCCTCTTTCTCACATGGAGAAGGTTTGAGCATTAATCACCACGCTTGCTCAAGACGGGTTGGTTATTTCACAATTATAAGTTTGAAATCACCAATTACAGTTATCTAATTAAAATTATTTAAACAAATAAAATATTAAAAAAAGCATATATGTAATAGAAGTAATTGTTATTTTTCTTAACCTTTACATTTTTCGCACAATTTCCTTAATTATTCTTTCGTTAAAATCTTCTCCCGACAATGATAAACAGAACAATAAAAAAGGGAATTCAGTCCAGCATATAGTCTTTATCTAAACGTATGAATG